AGACCGGCAGAGACGGCAATGCGCTACTGCGCAAGTGTAACGCGCAACAAAAAAATATAATCCGACAATTGAGTATTGACACTTGACATCTAATTGAAATCTGTGTTTTCAATTTCAATGTTGTTTTTGTATGTTTGGGAATCATGAATTTTTTAAATGTTTTGGAATTTGTGGAATGTTTCGCTTATTTTTATACTTGAGAAAATAGATTATCCAATTTTGTTTTTTCCTTCAATACTCTATTTTTTCTCAAACCATTTGAGGCAGTGTGATTGATCTGTGTGATCGTAATTGAATGGAAAAGGTAGATGGTGGATGCTAGTTTTTCTCTTTCCGTTGAAATACACCTCGAAAATCGTTTTAAATACTGCATCTACCTAGTTACAATAAGTTTTTATTTATTATTTACAGAATCTCATGCAGTATGGACTATAGTGAAGATGGTACTGATGACTTTCATAGGAGTTTGGAGCCTATGGTCATTATTAATGATGAAGAAAGTATTGAACAGGTCAGAATTGGTCAGATATTCTATGTACTATAATATATCACATTCTCCATATAGTTATAATTGTTTACTGAAGTAACCTCTTGCCAAATTTTTAAATATAACTGGGAGTGGTGCAGAGAAAATGAAGAAGTCATTTTTAGAATAATTATTTCCTGTTTTCCATCTAATTTCAAGAGGACTTTTATTGCAATAGTTCCATATTTTTAACAGACTGTTGATACTTAATAGTATAGGATGTTTCAAGAACAGGTAAAGATTGTTTACTGGTCCCAAATATTATTGTCTGAGACTGAAACCGCACTGCTCATGGTGCTCTTACTTTTTTTTTGTATGGCCAATAAATTAGCTGCATTTTGTTGCTCATTTCTAGATAAACAAAACTGACACTGCCGTTCTGGTGCAATCAAATGAAAATCATCTAGTATTCAATAACTACTAATCAACTATTTTTTAACAACCCGAATTTTTCAACTTCAGCAGTTAGTGAAAAAATTGTGTTTGGCCAGCTTAAGCCCCAGTGGCGTATCATCTGTGAAATGGCGACATTTAAATGCCACAGTAAACAAGAATTCAAAAACTTTATTTGCATTACTTGTTTTAATATATTTCATCCAAGCTGTATGGAGAGAGACTTCAAAGGTATAGTGAAGTTGAACAACTACTTAATTTACTGTTCAAAAGAGTGTGAAAAGATCAAGAATGAAGAAGAAGCCAGAGAAAGTTCTTTTAAGGGAGAAATAGACAGTCTACGGAAGATGTTAGAAGAAAAAGATACATACATCAAACGGCTTAAAAGAGGCAGTCAAAATTATGAACATTTGGTTCTAGATGCAGAATCAAAATTTCTTGAAAAACTCGAAAATCAGCAACAGGAAATGAAATTGTTAAAAACTAAATTAGTTAATTCTAAAAAAATGAATGAGGAATTCGCCCTTGCAATCTCGGAAAAGGATTCGGCCTTAACTAAATTGGAAACAAAAGCAGAGGAATTGGACAGACTAAGTAAAAATATGGTAACGACCATTAGAGTTTTAGAAAGAGAAAACGATGTGTATGCAGATGATTCGAAGAGGCTTGAAAATGAGAAGGAGAACTTATTATCAGAATTGAAAAAAACAATAGAAGAACTAAATCAAATAAAAGAAAAAAATTATGATCTTCTTAAAAATATGAAAAAACTTGAAGAAGATAACAAATTATGCAGGAATGAGCTTCAAAATTGGCATATAAAAGCAAAAAGTGTAGACACTGTCAAAAATTATGATCTTCTTAAAAATATGAAAAAACTTGAAGAAGATAACAAATTATGCAGGAATGAGCTTCAAAATTGGCATATAAAAGCAAAAAGTGTAGACACTGTCAAAAAGTCAGATCACATAAGCACAAACAATAATAAACAGAAAAAAGTTCTGATTGTGTCAGACCAAATGGGAAGAGGACTAGATAGAGAACTAAGAAGGCGTTACAAGGGAGAAAACACCTCGATTGAGATTATTCTGAAACCAGGGGCCCAGTATAACAGAATAATAGAAGATTTGGAAAATTTGACAAAAAATTTCACTGAGGAAGACTTTGTTATCATCTCAGCAGGAATCAATGACTTTCTAGCACATAAGTATCCTAGTATTAAGCTCATCAATGCAAAACTAAAAAAATGTAACAATACTAACCTAATATTCCTTTCAACCCCTATCTCTAGCTCTAGTCCAAAACAAACTTTGAAATTCAACTCAAAACTGTGTGACTTTTTGAATGTTGTGAACCAGTATCAGGACCAGTACATTTCCTTCTTGAATACTAATGATTTTGATGGTCGCAAAAAAAGCAATTTTAAAATATCATGTTTATTAAAAGATGAAATGAAGCTAAGGAAATCATGTATCAAAAATTTAGTGTTTATAAAACCACGATTTTTGACGACGAAACTATTGAGCAGGCCGATGTTGACGTAATGAATGACCCGGATTTTCTACAAATCACGCAATCCACGCTAATAACATAGCTAATTCCTGTTCTAAAAAAATGCCTCCAACCCCCATTACCTTATTGCTATTAAATATCCAATCAATTAGAAATAAGTGCGATGAACTGTACATTTTTTTAGAAAGTCTAAGTTTTCCTGATATTGTGTTGCTAACGGAACATTGGCTTCAACCTGATGAATCATGCCTCGTTAAAAATTACACTGTGGTGGCCACCTACAATAGAAAAATCTTGCCTCATGGTGGGACACAAATACTTATTAACAATAATTCTATAGAAAACTTGAAATTTGTAACAATAGATGATTTTAATGATTTTTTGGAAGAGAAACAATTTGAATTTACACTGGTCTTTAGCAAAAAAAATAATTTGTATATTCTGTGTATATATAGGGCCCCCTCTAGTGATGTATATGTGTTTTTAACCAGACTGGAGCAGCTCTTGAACAAATTCCCAATTAAATCTTCCATTATACTAACTGGAGATTTGAATATAAATTTTGACGAAGATTCGATTATTGTTAGATTACTAAAAAACTTGCTTTTATCATTTGACCTAACCATGCATGTAGAAAATCCAACTCGCCACTCCCGGCACTCGGCTTCCAAAATTGATTATGTATGTAGCAATATGCTAGACAAACTCAGCGCTTGCGTAGTCGTCAATGCAGCTTTGTCTGATCATGAAGCTGTATTGTGTACTTTTAATATTTGTAATTTCCTACCTAAACTGACTAAGTATGGCCGAATATACAGCAAATCTAACTTCAATAAGTTCAAGGAAGCATCTACAAATACTGAGTGGAAATCTATTGTAGATACAGAAAAACCATTTGAAAATTTCTATGAATACCTTGTATCCCTTTTTAATGAGTCTTTCCCGATACGAAAAATCAAGACCAAGCGAAAGAAGAAGCCATGGCTGACATCAGGTATAAAAACATCATCCAAAAATCTGAGATGCCTTCATAACCTTAGAAAATATACAAATGCGAATTTCATTCACATATATTTTAGTAACTATCGTAAAATTTATAGAAACTTGATAAAAATTGCAAAAGAAAATTATTACAAAGAAATAATCACCGATTCTGATAACAAATCAAAAGCTAGCTGGAATATTATAAACGACTTAACAGGTAAAAGCGGCAAAAATAAAGCAGAAATGTCTCTAAAGGCTGATGAGCTGAACAATTATTATTGCACTGTCGCTGGGAAATTAACCCAAGACTTAGCAAGTAATAATCTTCCAATGGAATTCTTCAGTAGTAATCCTATTTGTCAATCTATTTTTTTTTACGATACAAATATTATAGAATTGAAGCAAGTCATTAAAGCAATCAAAAATAAAAAAACACATGGGATCGATGAAATCTCAATTAGAATTCTTGAAAACTTGCCGGACGAGGCCCTGGATGTAATGACCACTCTGATAAATGACTCATTTCAGAAAGGTATATTTCCGGAATTCCTTAAAACTTCTCTTGTTATTCCTATTCATAAAGGTGGTGATGTAGACGAGCCAGCAAACTTCCGTCCAATTTCTCTTATACCCTCTCTCGCAAAAATAATAGAGAAAATAGTAAAAATTAGAATAACAAATTTCTTGAAAAAAAAAAACATAATCTCTGTAAAGCAGTATGGGTTCCAAGAAAATAAAAATACCAGTGACGCTATTTTCTCTTTTCTCCAAGAAGTATACTTGAAAATCAATAGTGGGGAGGCAGCAGCAGCAGTATTTTGCGACTTTTCTAAAGCCTTTGACTGCGTGGATCACCAAATACTGCTGGCAAAGCTCCATCACTACGGCTTCAGAGGTGTAGCATACAAATGGATTGAGTCTTACCTAACTGATCGTCATCAAATTGTGAAAACTTCATCTTTTTCAAATATAGCATCGGTGAATTGTGGTGTACCTCAAGGATCGATACTGGGCCCCACTTTATTCTTATTATATATCAACGATCTGCTTAATATTGATATCTCCGGAAAATTTACTGTGTTTGCGGATGACACTACTATTCTATGGCATGAAAATAATGCAGATGCACTAGAAGAAAAAATCCAAGTAGACATTAAAGTATTAAAAAGTTGGTGTGACTCAAATCGTCTTGCTCTAAATGTAACAAAAACCAACATAATATCCTTCAGGTGTGAAATAATCAATATTGAACTAGATAATGGCCTCATTGAAAGCTGCAATAAGACTAAATTTTTAGGGGTTTGTATCGATAATAAATTGAAATTTGAACAACATGTTTTGAACTTGAATAAGAAATTGGCCTCTGGTTGTTTCGCTGTGAGAACAGTAACAAAGGAACTTGGACCCTCAGCTGCAAAATTAGTCTACCATGCATTGATAGAGTCTCACCTGAGATACGGTATTCCTTTCTGGGGAGTATGTAATAATAACCTCATGCTAAGTATACTGGTACTGCAAAAACGCTCGATTAGATATATGTCCAAAGTTAAAATGCGTGTTTCCTGTAAACCGCTGTTTGTATCGCATAAATTACTAACTGTTATTGCAATCTTCATCCTTGAATCAGTATATCTCATCAAAAAACACATCCATAAATTTAATACTACTCCTTCCTATTACTCTACCCGTAAGCATAACAGTATAAACTTACCAATACCAAGTTCTTCTCTAGTAAAGGATTCACTCATTTATAATGGATGCAAGATGTTCAATCATTTGCCCGACTATATAAGAGATATCACCCACATTGACCATTTTAAAAAAGCTGTCCATTTGCTATTATCAGATCGGCCTTACTATAGTTTGGAGGAATTTTATTCTGATCAATTCTAATTATATGTACCCTTTGCTAATGTAAGAGTCTTTTTAATGTCTGTTTATATTTTTAGTTTTTTATTTACACTTTTAACTCTACATATGTGCTTTGTCCATAAGAATGTATCTTTTCTTCATGACAATAAAGTATATTCTCTCTCTCTCTCTCTCTCTCTTAACCTCAAGCTAGCACAACAACAATTTTCCAACCAAATAAGTCATGGACATGATTCAAATGCTTAGATTTAAGTATTCAATAACTTTTGAATGGTATATGGATAATTTGAATTTGATTGTTTTTATAAGGGACAAACATGCATTCAATACCTAAAATGCATGTAATTTCTTTCTTGTAATTCTCAATCATATTCTTTTAGCAACAATCAGCAGATTTTATGATTATAGATTATATTTTCTCCAAAAATGGTACTATAGTACAGTTGGGATGGAAAAAATTCAAAGGAATAGTTATTTGTTTTACTAGGCAGAAACAAAAGATTCATTGCCATGGCTGACGTTTCATAGCCAAGGCATTAAATCTGCTTTTTACATTTTTATAGGTACATATTTTGTTATGCCCACATTTCAATAAACCCACAGTCTCCGAACATACAAATGAAGGTGTATAACAATGTGTGGAAAGGCCCACAATGTCTGGCACAAGCATCTCTATAATACCATTTTTCTCTTTAGCTTTAGCTTCATGAATTCGGAAGACGTAATATAAGAAACGAAAATATATTACTTTCTGGCTCCTGCATAAGAAAGGAGAATACTTTACCTAAACAATCTAACCTAACTCGGTCTACATGAAACATGAATCTTCTTCCTAGAAAGTATATTTTTCGGAAAATAACGTATTCAGCATAGTATTTGGCAACAGTGCATCCTTCAGGTGGGTGTATCAAAATGTGGGGCTAACGAAATGTGGGCTCTCATGTGGGCTTATCAAAATATGTGAACAACGATGTGGGAGTTATGAATTGTGGATGGAAAGACATGCTTCTGGTTCTGACAGCCCTATAATATCAAAGTTATATTTGAAACTCGGATAAAGGTTATCTTAACACCCACACTATCAGTCAACCTCTCTCTTCTTCTTTGTGGTATGTTTATGGAATAGTTGTCAGCATTTTATGGTAGCTATTTTTCTAACATTGACTTTTGTTATACAGTTCTCAACACACTAAATGGACCACTCATAATTTGACTCTATTTCGAAGACCTGTATTTTTTTTAAATATTGACCAATCTTCATGCGGTTTTCGATATCAGATGTGATGTTCCATGGGCTTCAAAGAGAGCTAGATCACTCTGGAAACATCCGCAGAACAAAACTTACACAGGGTGTAAAGTGGAACCATTACACTATGGTCTACATTTCCAATGCTGCCAGAACTCGAGAAATTTTTTTCTGATCAAAAGTCAGTCATATTATGATACACTGGGACCTCATCTCGGGACGTTTTCGTGATTTCGCCATTTGGCCATTGGAACAAAAATTCGATTTTTTTTTTCAAAAGTCTTGCATTTCTTGAATTTTTTCTCTAGAACTCCACTTGAGCTGACTATTGGGAAGAACTATTCTCATGTTTTGTGGAGGACAATGAAAGACGAAAAAAGCACTATTGTGGAATATACAGGATGATGAGAAAATAGGACAAAATCTCATTTCAGTAAAAAAAATCAAAAATGGTGACTGAAACCATGGCCCATTCGATTCAGTATATTCAGAAACGGCCTTCTCAATATCCATCATTTATATTAGACTATCAACTCGAGACGTTTCCGAAAATTCGCCTCTTATTGAAATACAGGATGAAAATTTTCAATTCAAACTTGTTTCCCGATATCGATGATTCTTATCAACTGATTTCCAATATTTATGCCCAAGTATGAGACACAGAGTATTGTTATTCAATATACTAAGTGTTTCACGAATTTGACAAATTTCAACCACAACCACAATATTACATAAGAAGTCGATCACATCATAATTTTCTAGAAGTAAAACGAAATGGAAAATAAAATTTATGACATTATTGGCAAAATATGACATTAGTGAATTCTTCAGCATTATGAAGATCCAACTAAAAAGTTCTACATCCTAAATTTCAGTACTTAGTACTCTTAGTAGGGCCTCCCCGATTTAAAAACACCTCATGAAATCGGT